TTTAAAGGATAGGTGCCTATACCTGTGGGACGAAAAGTCTCGGACTCACAGAGCCTGACGAAGACGAGAAAAAAAATTAAAGAAAGGTTATTTTACATTTGGCATTCGTTGCCACGATCCGTGTAGTACACACCATTCTATTTTTTTTTGTAACGTTTTCATTTATTTATTAAAGTATTTCTACATTTAATTCTAATCGTCAAGTCGGAGGCGTTTACGCATTGGTGCAGTCATACCGAGCCTCATAATTTGCACGTTGGCCAGATCAAGTTTGGTTCTGATATCTCTCAATTCTTCGGCGTGCTTGTATTGATCGTCATCACGACGTTCAGAGATCAAGTTCAAGCGATGTGACAAACGCGCGTTCTCCTCCTTCAAGAGGGCCTTCTCGTCCTTCAACATGGTAGTCTCTTCCTTCAAGGACACTTTGTCTTCCTCCAGAGTTTTCATAATATCCGATGTGTGCTCGAGGTTCAGCTTGAGTGTCTCGATGGTATGAGACAAACTGTGTTTCACATTCACGCTCCCAACTTCCTTCGCAATGTCGGTAAAGTGCCCCACTATACTCTGGAGCTTTTCGTGTGGAAGAGAAAACACTTCCGTCTGCCCCTCGTACATGAACGGCTTCGCGTCGTGGAGTTCGTGGAAAAAGTCCTTGACTGCCTTCTCGGCCTTGGAAGCCAGTTCAGCGGGCATGTATATAACAGCCAGACGTTCCGCACCGGGGAACTTACCTTCATGTGCAGTCAGTCGACGCATGATACTTGTTTTGGACATACCGAGCTTGACCACGACGTGGTTGTCGTCTGCGTCAGTGGGTACAGTGCACTTGGCCTGCAACTGCCCCACGGTCCCGACGAGGATGAGGTAGATTCCCATTTCGAAGCAGACAGCCACTTCTGGTGGGATGGTCTTGGATAGAGACTCCTTAGCTAGCTCGATAATTGCAACGTCGTCGCGCTGCATGAATGGGTGTAGGATGTCCATCATCCACTTTCCGTACGGTCCCTTCCTGGCCTTTCTACTTGTGAACATGTACTGAATGAGCCCATCCAAGGAAATGTAGACAGGGTCACTCGCGTCCGATCCGAAACGAAAACATAACTCATCGTCAACTGATGCCTTCACAACCTTTGCCCCTACTACACCAACGAGCTTTGCCACATCACCAGCCTTGTAGAATGTACCGGAAACTGTACCGTCACCAATGGTGTGTACGTCAAATATATCATTGTCGCACGTTATAAATGGTGTACTGCTACGTGTGGGGGTGTCCTTACTTAATGTTTGCATTGTAACGACGATACTACATTTATAGTATTTTCCGACTGGCGCTTGATTTCGCTTTTTTTACGTTAACGTATTAAAAGCGTAGACTGCAAACGTTTGGATTACCATTGCCGAATCAAGCGTAGGCCTAATGGTAGGACTCGTCACGGACCGACTCTAGCGTAGACCTAATGGTAGGATTCGTCATGGACCGACTCTACGCTTCAAGCGTAGGCCTAATGGTAGGACTCGTCACGGACCGACTCTAGTGTAGGCCTAATGGTAGGATTCGTCATGGACCGACTCTAGCGTAG